CACAAACACACTCACACGCGTGCGTGCTCACACACACACACACACACACACACACACACACTAGTGGGTCAAAATCAGAATAAAATTGGACTGAATCGTTCAAAACCATTCGAACCAAAGAACCGGAGCCAGTTTTTTAAAATTGTCTGGTTCAAAAAAATTCATCAAGTTGACCTTTTCTTATTTTTTAAAAAGTGTAATTGTTATTCTTTTATTAATACAACAAATTCATGGTTGTTATAATATTATTATTGTTCCGGACTGCCCCAATGGCTAGGCATGACCCAATCTACTTCTGCTCCCATAACGGCCCAATTGCCTAAGTCCAACCTTTTTGGTGGAGAGTTTACCTTTCTACCCCTCATATAGGGGAGGCTGACCAATCTGACCTTAGTCTGAGGCACCTCTCCCTGTCAGTCTCTTCCCGTCACGCACGGTTCCACCATCCAGAAACAGCTCACACGCTTGCGCCCTTAACAGTGCTTCTGCCCGTCCCAACAGCTAATTATGGGCACGTCTGCTCGTCCCAACGGCTATTTCTGGAAGTTACCTATTCTTTGGAAAACGGTTATCTCGCCCTAAAAATAGGTACCATTGGCCAAACGTTGGGGCATTATAAAAACCCTCTCATTTGAGAGGGTCAGGTATCCAATTTCTTACCTTGAAACACACATATTTTGTACTTGCTCGTTTTCTTACTTTATCATCGGAGTGCCTTACAGGTACATCCCCTCATCCTCTTTCACACCCAGCGCTACAGACGTTTATCATTGGTCTATCTCAGATTTTGATCATTCGGTAAGATCAGTGGCGCCGTCTGTGGAAAACTTGTTATCCCCATCTTTTCTCTCTTCATCAAAACACAAGATCAAAACAATTCTTTAATTTTGTAATCATGGTTGCCCATGACAACAATCTTGATGCTCATAACTTTGCTTTCCTCCTCGTCAGCAAGACTGATGTTGAAGAGGCCTCCACCTCTCATGGCGGCAACGTCCTCCGACGAAGGGACAGAGCCACAGATTTTCCATCCCCTGTTCGTGAAGATCACGGCTGAGCCCTACTTGTCTCGCAGCAGCTGCTAGTTCCAATTCTGCCCAACGCCGACCCGGCCATGGCGGCCATCCTCGAGGTTCTCAACAAAACCAACCTCTTAATCCTCAACCAGACCCCGAGGATTGAAGCATTGGAAGAATCTTGTCATCTAAGATCCCCTCCACCGAGGGAAGAACGTCAGCAGCGACGGAGTCCCCCTCCCTGGCGCAGGAGGAACCTTCAAACGCCTTCAGAACCCGAGACCCTGACCATCTGCAAACGCGATCAGATTTCTCCCCGGAACCAGCAGTCCCTGCTAGCTGAGGGGACACCAGGTAGAATATTCACGTTCGCCACCCAAATCCAAGGGTCGAGCACAAACCCTGTCTCCGCGACGAGGCCACCATCCCACTTATAGACGTGACGCCTGCTCCCCCTCTTGGACCAGCAGCAGCAACGACAAGCCTCGCGGCCCTTTGTCCCAGGAAATCGTAATCATGCGCCTCCCAAAGGGACTAGAGAAACCCCCTTCTCTAGACACATACGATGGAACAACCGACCCTGACGAGCACATCGAAAACATCGATGCGCTGCTCGACTATCGCGGCGTCCAGGGCGACATCAAATGCAGGTTATTCCCGAACACACTCGGGAAGGGGGCAATGACCTGGTACAAAGGACTCCCTGACGACTCCATCACCTCGTGGAGGCAACTGGGGAGACTCTTCTCCATACATTTCACGGCTTCTCGCCGAAATCTAAAGACCGAAGCCTCCCTCGAGGCCATCATTCAAGGTAGGGATGAATCCCTACGAGCCTACATTGAAAGGCTCAATAAGGAGGTCATCCAAGTCTCCACCACTAATGATATGAAGAGGTTTCTGCTAGAGCGCGGGCTCCGTCCCCACACAGACTTCGCCAAAGCTATAGGCCTCCGGCCCCCGGCAACACTGGATGTTTTTCTCCTCAAAGCTAATTCGTACATTCTGTATGAGGAGAAAGAGGCTGCCAGCTCTACTCATGAGTCCAGACACAGGGAGAATGCCCGTCCGAACAGGACCGGCGAGCTCTTGACATCCTGTCAAGGAGATAAAAAATGAGAAGACCGTCCCCGCGAGACCCGAGACAACAAGGGGGCCTCTAGCAGGTTCTACGAATACACCCCTCTGACAGTCTCGAGGGAGAAGATCCTCACTGAGTGCGCCAACTCAGAATTTTGCCAGGCAAGGGTCCGGTTCCCAAAGTAGATACCGTCCAAACCTAACATCGATAAGTCCAAATATTTTCGGTTCCACAAGAGCCATGGCTATACGACGGAAGCTACATCCACCTGAAAGATGCTATTGAAATACTCAACAGGGACGGGCATCTGAAGTAGTTCGCCAAGTGAAAGGAAGCTCCTCGATCAGACGCCCAAGAAGCCCATAAGGTCGAGGAAGAAGCACCTTCCTCCGAAGAAACCAGCCTACAGGTCGCCATGAGCATCTCACGACCTGAAGATTTATGTGTTCCCGAGGGACTCGCCGCCCTTCCATATTTTGCCGTGCATAGTCCATGGGAAACATTCCCCTCCTCCCTAGTCATCTCCGGAGGAGGTTTCAACAGAGTGACGGTAGGATCCGTCAAGAGGAAATTTGAGCACCTCATCACCAGCAGTTCAAACCGGAACTCCACCCTCGACAGGATCAGGGGAGAATTTGTCCCCATTTGCTTCTACTGCGAGGAGCTCCTCGCGAAGCCCCCAACGCCAGCATCCCTTTGCTCTTCAAGGCTCAGATGGCAAACTTTGATGTCCGACAAATCCTCGTCGATCAAGGCAGCTCCGTCGACATCATGTACTTCCAGCTGTTCTCCAATCTCCAGCTAGATGAATCACACTTGACTCCCTACGTAGGCTCTGACCTACAAGGTTTTAATGGATTAGTGACAAAGCCCCGGAGTTATGTTGAGTTGATCGTAACATTCGGATCTGCGGAGACGGCCAGATCAATCAAAGTACAATTCCTGGTGATAGATTGCCCTTCATTATACCAGTGCATCTTCGGGCGACCAACTTTGGCTGAGCTGGTGGTCGTACCTTCAATGGTACACCTGAAGATGAAATATTACACCTCCAAAGGCCTCGTCGCAACTCTACACGGGGACATAGAAGCCGCGAGGAGATGTTTTGAAGCAGCGTCAAAGGGACTGAATGCAATCGCCGCCAGACCGAAGACTTCTGCCCAGTCTCATTTCCCTAGCAACTCCGACGAGGCAAATTCGCTCCCTCGCGTAATGGAGATCACAAAAGCAAACACTTGTAGCAACTTCTTCAAATCACGTTGAAGTTATTGCTCTTCATGAAGCAAGGAAAGAATGTAGATGGTTACGATTGATAACTAGACATATCCAAGATCTAGTTTACCCATTGATAATAATCCAACAATTTTGTATGAAGACAATGTTGCATGTGTTACCCAGATGAAAGAAGATTACATCAAAAGTGACAGAACCAATCATATCCCTCCAAAGTTCTTCTCATTCACACAAGAACTTGAAAGAAACAAAGAGGTTAATATTCAATATATTCGTTCATGTGATAATATGGCATATCTCTTCACAAAGACACTTCCTACATCAATTTTCAAGAAGCATTTACAAATATTGGAATGCGTCAACTTCGAGATCGTTAATGAAGAATTATATGTGCTCTGTTGAGGGAGAACATCATGTAGTACTCTTTTTCCCTTATTAAGATTTTTATCTCAATGAATTTTTTTTAATAAGGTTTTTAACGAGATAATATATACTCTCATAAGTTTTTTCTTGATAAGACTTCGATGAAGCATCGTAATAGATATTCTAAATGGAGAGTGTTATAATATTATTATTATTAATATAATATTATTATTTAAAAATATTTATCTAACTAATAATTATAAATTATTGTAGATACATAATTTGTCAAAGTTAAAATAGTAAGTTCAATTATCACATTAGTATAATAATTGCATTTCTAGTAATATAAATACTACATTTTACGTGTAAAAATACACCAAAATTTACTTTAAATGAACAAGTAAAACATTCTATTTTCTTCAATCTTTTCATCTTACAACTAATTTAATAACTTATATTAATTAATAAATATTAACAAATATTCTTTCTCAACGTGACAAAATTCTATTCATTCTCTTTATTTAAGAACTTTACGTTACCAGCCACCTTTCTTTTGTTATTTGATATACACAACTTGATTCTTAAATTACATGGTTCATAATAAAATTTAAATCATCATTTAAAAAATGGTTCACCAATAAAATTTAATTCCTAATTTTTTTAAAAAATAAATTATCATATGTAGAATTTAGTCTCAAGAATTTTAGTTGAGTTTACAAAATCAACTTATAAAATAAAAATTACCACTTATAAATGTGAGACTCTTTTTAACATTTAGTATCAACGATTCACTTGGATGTCACCTACATATTTGAGATCGAATATACCCGAGAGAAAAGCACAAGTGGAAATTATCATCCAAGATGTGAAGCACGAAAATTAATTTTGCTGAAAAAATGAACAATGTTCATTCAATGCTTTGGAGATTCAGAAGATGCAACATCACTTTCTAAAAGTTTCTAATCTTCACACCATCTTAAAAAGAAGATTCGGTGCAAATGGCAAATAATGTCCTGTTTGTTTTCACGGCAGCAGGACATCCAAAAAAAAGTCATTTTGCTGCAAATGCAAAGCAATAGTTTGTAACTTCAAAAAAAAAAAGTCATTTTGCATCAGCTTGTCATCATACAACTTCATTACATTCATTATGGTACAATAGCACAGCTTAACATAACATAAATATACATTTTGAAACTTCTAATGAATCAGTTATTTAAAAACTATCCAAATTGTGAAATCTAGGGCTATATATATCACTCATCTCTAATCGCAGACGCATCAAAAATCTACACTTACATGGATAGAAGTTACATGCCCCAGATGCCACGAGCTGTTGCCACTTTGTTACTTGGTCGAGATGTTAGTTCATACAATATCCTCGCAAACGTGTCAGAATATTTGCTATCTGTGAAAAGTATCTCGGAAAAAGCATTCTCATAGGCTAGCAACAAAACTCTGTTTTGTGGCTCAGAAACAAGACTCTCTAGTATCATGGCAGCTTTCCGGCAAACTTCTGGAACAGGATGTGGTGTCTTAATTACTTTGAGCAATCGATCTATTGCCCTGAGTTTAAGGAATTCAAATCAGTTTCTGTTACTGTGCATATTCAAGTTTCTTTGCAAATTCTAGAGAAAATTGTCATATCATATGATTATAACTATTCAAAGATGCACGAAGATATGTAGTTTTATTTTAAGGGGAAAAAACAAACAAAAATAAGTTATAAAAATAAGTTATAGTTACCATCGCTCGCTAGCAATCTTCAACCTGCAATCCATATTAACTTCAGCAAGGTTATAGAGTGCACCTATAGCAGCTGCCTGAGCATCAATTGCCGGTAAGCTGATAAGGTCAACCAAACGTTTGTGTATCTGCAGTAATCAATTGATGATGATTATTTTTGCAGTATAAAATAATTTAGGCTTAATATTTTTTCATCCAAAACCATATATCATTTTTTGCTTTTACTCACTAATAAACTTTGTTATTTGTCCTTACAAATATACAATTTTTTTGCTTTTGGAAGTTGTTTTGTTTTAAAATAATAATTGTCGGTTTTGAAATGAGTCACAATATCATATGGATCATATTAATTATGTCCATATATGATTCATATTTCATTAAATTCAATATGGTCCAAAGATTACAAGAACAAAACTTTAACATAAACATTATATGGAAAGAAAGAAAAAACAAAATAACAAGAACCAATCCAAAAGCAAAAATATATGTTTTCACGAACTAAAAACAAACAAAAGGTGATAAATTTGCAGAGACAAAAAAACATAAAACATGTTTAAACTAACAAATTAACAAGGTAAAACATCCATAAAAAGAAGTATTGCCTGTGGAAAAAATGGTAGCAAGAAAGGTTCGTTGTCAGGATTAATGATCAATCGCCCAAGTAATTCAGCAGCAGCACAGTGCCAGGCTTTGACAGGAGAATTCAATATCCCCATGATGGCCTGAACTGCTCGTTTCTCTCTGTAAGTAATACAGCCATTTATCAATCAGTTATAGAGAATTGCAATGGAATGCAAGAACTTTGAAGGTAGAATAATGACTTACGTTATTTTAATAAATGAAGGCTTGGACGAGCTAAATATTCGAAGATCCATTAATGGAGCCAAGTTAACAATTGTCTCTAGAGCATTTGTCACTAGTTCTTCATCCTCTATCAATATTACGAAAGACAGTTTATAACAAAAACCATTACAAACTTTTAATGATGTGGCAATGCATGATAGGATGATAATGTTGAGAAAGAAAAACGTCATAATTCAACACAATATTTAGAAAGCTTTAAATGGTGTTGGATATATACAAGACTAGATGAGATAGAATTAGTAATGACAAAATTAAAGAGAGAGTTGGGGTAGCATCTATTGTAGAAAAGATGATGGAAACTCGATTTAGGTGCTTTGGGCATGTGGAGAGAAGCCATATAGATTATGTACTTAGAAGTATAGATCAGATAGAGGATAGTCAAATCACAAAAGGTAGAAGGAGACACGAAAGGTAGAGGAAGACGTTAAAAAAACTACAAGAGAAACTATTAAAAAAAGGCCTAGCAATTAAATAGTTGGATAGAGATGTAATATATGACAGAACATTATGGCACCGTTCGATCTATGTAGTCAATCCTACTTAGTGGGATAAAGCATGGTTGTTGTTGGTGCATGTACCTATCTAAGACTGATACCTTAACCAGTTAAACACTAAGGACATCCTCCAGGGAATATAGAGACCGTTACTTTTGATGAATAAAAACTATGGTGATTCCCGAATAACAGAAAAAATAAAGACTGACTCAACTATAATTTTATAGGGATCAAATTTCAATTAGAACAAAAATATGGATTAAAACAAAAAAGAATACTCAACTGTAGGGACCAAAGCACGACTCGGTGAAAACAATAAAAACTACTGCAAACCAAAACATATTATAGCTTAAACCATGAAGGTACTGTTACCATTGTAATTTGTAACCATCAAATCATTTGGGCAAAACTAAAAATGAACGAGTTAGATTTGACTAGCAAAAACTCTCACCTATTGCATGATCTTCAATGCATTGGAAGGCTGTTTCCATACAATGACGATTTTGGGCCATTATAACTTCATTATCTGGCATGAAAGAGAAGTTCCTAATGATATTTGAAGCAGCAACAGCACATTGCTGTTTTTCTGCTCGCCCTTCGTCATCTAAATTAAATAGACCCTCTTCATCAAACCGCAACTCTGAAAAGCGAGGTTTTGTTGTGCCATTATGCTGTGTTGATTCTGTACTTGCAGATCCAGATCCTAGACTGCATATTTAAGATCAATATCCTATAAAGTGACTTATTCTCTCTACCGGCTCATATTTTCAAAATGAAAACATAAAACCCATTAAAATTTGGACAGCCAAAAACAAAGGTAACATTTGAGAACATGTTTTACCTAGGACGCTGGAGAGCACCAGTAGAGCCCAATGCCTGATACCCATTTCCAAACCCAGTTGCAACAGAATTTGCACCTAACGACCTGACCCTTGATATCCTGACTAGATCCTTTGGGAGTGCTATGTCACGCCAGTCATCAATCTGTTGTGGTTTACAACATGACAGAGTGTTAAATATGGTAATTACTTTGACAATAAAAGAAGAGAACTTCTACAAATCTTTGAATATTTTTACACTATTAGAATATAATAAAATTTATCTTTGATATTGAATATATTAGTTTATTTCCAAAGAACGGTTTATAATCTTAAATTATTTATATTACTGTAATTATTATTATGATTTGTTTCTGGCTTCACTATTTATTTAGGATTCAAGCTATGCATCAAGCTATTATTAAGTCATAATCAATAATAGTTTAATTAGAAATAAGAATTACAATTTAGTCTTTCATATCAAGCTACTAGAAAGTTATTATCAATAACAAAGTTGCATAACTGTGTCATGTTTTCAGAATTCTGTCACATTCTAATGTACCAATTTCTGTAAATCTGTGACCGTGTCTCTGACTGAGAACCATTCTTCAAAGATTACTCACTAAAAACAGCTGTTGCCTTTAAATTTATTAGTTTGGTACAAGTTTCTATCATTTTCAAGCTCTTATTATTTCTCTCTTCCCTTTACCTAAAACTCAGCTTCAATACGGCCAAGCTCTCTAACTCTTGAAGGACGAAGTTGCATAACTGTGTATCATGTCAGAATTTTTTGTCATGTTCAAGTGTACCAATTTCTATGTGTCATGTCCGAATTCTTTGTCATGTTCTAATGTACCAACTTCTATAAGTGTGTGATGGAAAACTTTGATTGAGTTGAGAACCACTCTCAAGATTATTCAAAAAAAAAATCAGTTATTGCCTTTAGATTTATTAGTTGGTTACAAGTTTCTATCATATTCAAGCTCTCATTATTTCTCTCTTCCCTTTGCTTTACCTAAAACTTATAGCTTCAAAATGGCATCAAGAATCTGGTTAGATCTTCCATGACCTATCATATCACTATTCCCCTGCCATGTTCTTGAAAATTTAGAACCATTTGAATAGTTGTGTACTTGTATTTAGAATCCTTTGTTGAACCCTCATTTGTTTTAAACAGTCTACACTAGAGCTGTTGAAGCCATCTAACATCAAAACAAAACACACTAATGAGTTAGATTATAAGCTTAAAAGTTTAAGATTCTAAACATGGTTATTCTAACAATGAAGGTGAAAACTACGGTATTCTAACAATGAAGGTGAAAACTACTCTTTATATTGAAAAAGAAAGGGTAAATCCCTGGTGTGGATAAAGATTCTATCCACAACCGCCTGTGATTTTTTCAATTAATTAGGTAATCATCATTTTCTTCGTTAAACTTTTTTGATTCAGTTTTATGTTAAAAGATAACATAACTCTATTTGGAAAACTTTTAAGCTGATAATCTAACTCATCAATGTGTTTTGTTCTGATCCATCACATTTTCTTTAGATTGGTGTGTTTTTTCATAGGGTTATTATTCCTTTTTACAAAATAAATTTAAACAACTAAGTTGTGCAACCTAATTATGAACGATTAGCTATATTGATGTTAAACAGTGTTTTCAGCCATTGTCTCTGCATTCGAACACCCATGGCCAGAAAAGAATTTTGACAATATTATCGATAAATTCATTCTCTATTTTTCAAGTGTATGCAACCAGCTTGCTATATTAAGATAAGATATCACTGACCCACTAAGAGATGTGGTGAAGTTTTTCGCCGGCTAGTCATTAGAACTCAAAAGATGTAATGATCTCATCAAATTGAACCTTCATATCATATGAATAAAGTAGAAGAACCGTTCGATTAAAACAACCACAACCTCCATGTTTGACAAGAAAAGCTTAAGATTCTAAACATGGTTGATAGCCAAGTCCTGACATAACCTTTAAATGAGGGAGTAGCAACAAGAGACTAACAAGTTTTTCATGGTGGGAAAACTAGGCTTCATGTGAATTTCATTTTGTGCGGATTTGAAACCTTGTGACAACAGTGAAAGACTAACGCGTACACATGTATCAAGAGCAATTTAACCTCATAAATTGCAGATTGTGCTCAATTGTTGTACCAAGGAAGATCTTGATTTATCAGCAGCTTTCTTCAACTCTTCACATTCAGTTTTAGGTAAATACCATCTACTTCCTTTGCTCAAATGATCAAACATAACTCGAACTTCGAATCACATCTGGACAGTTGCTTTCCAAACAATGTAGTTCTTCCCTATGAGTTTCTCTGATGTGAAAGAACTCATAAAAAGCTTGCCCGAGAAGACGAAAGATAATGTAGATTTGTTCTAGAGGTGCTTTATTAGAATCAATGACTCCAAATTACACCATGACACATGGGTACTTAAACTGTAGCAAAGTTTTAACGTATAGTAGATTGACAATCACTGAACCTAGTGTTAGCAGCCAAAACTTGAATGTGGCAGGTCAAGATGACAACATGGCTAGGGTTTCCAATTTGGAACTTTCAGAATTGGGTTTTTTTATCAGACCTATAGGATGTGAGACAAGACACGAACTTGAAAGGACATACATAATTTATTTGAATTACTTGAGAGATTGATTCTCAATATGTTTTATGTTAAGTTATGCTAAAATATACAGCATGAAGATAGATCAAACAGTCTCTATGTACCGGTTTAATCGTATTAGGCCCTAAGAAGAATAAACCAAACACACTGGCCGCCCAAGCTCTCGCCTCATGACGCCTGGCACTTGACGATAGTCGCCCGATACGGGGCAAGAGGTCGCCCGGATTTGGTTAACTGGCCGTCCAATTGGCTTGGGTCATCCGAATTAACTTCCACTCGCTCATTAAACATGGACGGTGATATGTCTCAAATAACAACTGACCCAAGGTCAGACAAAGAGAAGCAACTGTTTCACCCATGAGTTTAGGGAAACTAAGTCTTCTCTTGACCATTTCCTTGGTACTGGAGCTAGGGCAAAACCGCTCCACTAACTTTATAACCCAAGCCCAAAAAAGCCTCTATAAATACCTCAGACTGAAGAGCAACGACCTAAAAACTACAACACTGAAATACATAGATACCGGAGTTTCTCACCCCACGTGAGCTAGCTCTCAACCTCAAAATTACCTTAAAGCCTCTAACAACCTACAACACTGAAATACATAGATACCGGAGTTTCTCACCCCACGTGAGCTAGCTCTCAACCTCAAAATTACCTTAAAGCCTCTAACAACCTACAACACTGAAATACATAGATACCGGAGTTTCTCACCCCACGTGAACTAGTTCTCAACCTCAAAATTACCTTAAAGCCTCTAACAACCCTTAATCACTACGGATTGTCACGCATTTGTATTTTTAGCAAGTACACTCTAGTTTGATCTAAATATATCTCATGTTGTCATAACAAAATATTTATAAGAATAATGTCATCACATAATCGGTCATATTTCAATGCTCAAATATCTTAACATCTATAAGAAAGAGAAATGCAAACAGTAGAGTAAAACATGTTTCGTAGAACATACAACTTGAAGAAGTGCATCCAGCAAACCGGGGATTTTCGCCAGGGGAGTTGCATCCTTGCGCATGTCATCCTTCTCTTTAAAAGAGAGCAGTGTAAGAGTATTCAATGCCCATGTAAGCTCACTCTTCAGACCACTCTGAAGAGCCAAAACAATTCTTTTATTATTTTGATCTGCAAAATTAAAAAACAGTAAATTTATAGAAACTTTCAAAAAGCACTTCAACAATTTATCACAATAATCCTTTATATCTATGCAGGTTTCAGCTACTAAAAGAAATTGACATTTTTGTGTTAGTGTGCTAAACTTTAGTGCATTTGGAAAATAACAAGTGTTAAAGACTAAAAGTAAACACTAAAACAATTTCAAAAATCAAAACAATGGAAGGAGAAGAAGAAGCTGTGAACTAACCCGCAAAGGCGCTATGAACGTGAAGAGAAGGACCGAGAAGTGTTGACGGAGCAGCCGATTCAGCAGCGGCGGCGGCGGCTGCTGCGCTGTTGTTACCGCTTCCAAAAGGACGGCCTCTCTTTGCCGGTGTTGATGATCCACCGCCGGTTGCTCCACCGGCTTTGCTTTGGTCTCTCTTCTGCATTTCTCTTTTTAGGGATTTCAAATTGATTTTACAATTTGTTATGCAATTTCAATTTTTTTGGATCTTTGTTGGGCTTTTTGGATCGGGCCAAGTATAATTAAGAATGGTTTTGGAGAGAAGTTTTAACTTATCACCCCTCACTTATATTTGACACTCCTAAAAATTTCAAAAATATCTCTACTATTATTTATAAATTAAAATTTACTTTTTCTTTTTTAAATGTTTTTATTAACATTTCAAAAATGAAATTTCTGATAGTGCAAACAAATTTCTGATACGTATTTTTTCACATTTTTAAAAAATCTCGCATTTTGACTGGACTTTTGTAAATTTTCAGTGAACAAATATTGAAAATTTCAAAAATGCCAATATTTTCTTGAAATTTTTTTAAATCATACCGAAAATTATTGAAATTTTTGAAAAACTACAAAATATCGAAAATTTCAAAGTTTTTGGTATACCTGGAATTTTGCATATACTCCAAATTTCTGATAGAAGTGCAGAAAGCAGAAAAATATTTTATTTGTGTGGTATAGAGCTGGCAGGGTTTTCTACAGACTCGTGTACTGATTTTGCGCAGTTCTTCACAATTGCCGCAATATATTTTCTATGTAATAATTTTAATTTTAATTTTTTCCCGCTTCTATATGATATTGATAGTATACTTTTGATTTGATGTATGTGAGATGTTGGATCGAACTCTAGTATGGTCGAAGGGTAGCTTCAGGTTCAACAGAAATTAAGCATGAGGTCGAAGTATGTTCGCATGCTGCTGTCGAAGATAATGTGTGATGTAGTCGAAGTTTGTTCTAACATGCATTAGTCAGTATTGCTAGGTTGTTAGCATATTGGATTGGGCCTTACTTGTAATCTCAAGTGTTTAAGTTAGCTTGTACCTGTTGTACCCTAAAATTTGATCAACCTTTTCTTTACTTGGTTTATGTTTCATTTCATCTTTAACATTTGCATTTGCATAGCATTGTCCTTTGCAGGGGATCAAGAGAGGTGTGCCTACTCAAGAGAAGAGTCTCAAGGGTTTCAAGCTCAAGCAAGAGTGCTTGCTCAAGTTATCAAGTGCTTACAATCATCAAGAAGTGGTCAAAAGCTCTTTGAGAGAGAAGATGGATGTATGTTGCTACCTCCTATCTTTGAGGTCAACAGAGGATCGTCAGGGGTTCAAAAGTTCATGGTTATGGATAGGAGAAGTTTGAGAAGCTTATTGAGTGCTTTGGAAGTCATTGTGAAGCTTGTCTAAGAGTTTAATTCTTCTGCAAGAGGTCACAAGCAAAGGTTGTGCGCCTAGGGTTTCATCTGGTTAGTTCAAGGTTACCTGTGGACTTGAGAGAGCTTGAGACTTAGTTATAAGTCATTGGAGTCATGAGAAGTTGGTTTGAGGCATCTAGTATGTCATTTTAAGTTCAAATCAAGAAGAATCAAGAGTTTAAGAAGTTACTAAATTAGGGTTTCAAAGGATGTCAGTGTAAAATCCCCTATTTAGTGTCCAACTTCAAGGACCACTTACCTTATGATACAAGGTCAATCACACTTTGATGCAAACATGAGACTTGTAGGGCATGTTCTAAGCTTTCTTTTGAGTACTAGAACTCATCCATTCGGTTTGTGGAACTCAAGTTATGATGCCACCAAGTTATAGGTCTCAGATGAACATATTTTTCAGTCAACAAAAGCCAACCAACTTCCAAGGCACTTTTGATCTAGAATCAAGTTTTTACTCAACTTGGAGTGAACATGAAAGCTTTTCCTTATGATATTAGATTTCCAAAAAGTCTTAGAAGTCCTTGATATCATTTGTGGAACTCAAGTTATGGAGCTTACAAGGCAATGGCATTTTGGGAAAGTGAGATTATACGTCATTTGAATTATAGGTCATCTAGATGCACTTGAGTACTTCAAATGAAACTTCAACCAACATGAAAGTTTCTCCAAATGACTTCTTTTACACCATGAAACTCAAGGTTGGCATGAATTATGCTTGGTTATGGACATTGGGTGGGAAATTTCAAGTGAAATGGACTTTAAAAGGTGATTTCAATTGAACATGTTATAGGCCATTTACATGCTTCCTTTTGATTCAATTTTGTTCACAATACACTCAAGGTAAGAATGCACAAATTCATTTTAGTCTATGCTAGCAAAAACCCATGGATTTTCAAGTTACTTCACAAGGAAGTTTCACATTCAAACTTCATAATTGGACCACAAACAAAGCCCACTCCAATTCCAATGTGTAATTCAAGTTATCAGCTGCAAATCCAAGCCATTTCCATGTGTGTTAGAAGCAGTTTTCACATGTGCATGAGAAGGTTTACAAGTTTTAGGCATTTTGCAAATTCATCACAACTAGGCTTCATGGGCCTCTAATTCTAATCCTAATCCATCATATATAAGTTCAAAATCATTTTTGGATGCCCAGAAGGGCATTTTCGTGGAGAGATGAGCAAAATCAATTTTGAAAATTGAAGGAGAAACTCAAAACCGTGAATTAAAATTCAGAGCAATTCAACTCAAATTGAAGCAAGCTTCTTCTTCCTCAAGCAAATTAGAGTGGATCTGCACATTTTGGAGCAAGCTAGCACTCAATTGAAGCACCAACAGAGTGTCTCTGTTAGGTAAACTTCCAATCAACTTTTCTCTCATTCTAGAGCATGATCTAGGTTCATATTGGCTGCATCTGAAGCCCAACCTCGTGTAGGCCATGTTTGAGTGCTTAATTGTCATGTTTGATGGAGTTTGCAGATGTGCATTCCAAACTTGATCCATTCGATTCTCTTTATTTACGCATGTTTAAAACCAATGGATCATGGTTTTGGAATGTACATGAGTTTAGCTTCATTTTGGTATAAGATTTGACAGATTTTGGTGAGTTTTGATGACCTGAACTCCGGCCACCTTGCCGGAGAAGACGACCGGAGCAAAGGCTCCGGCATCTGGTTCAAACGCAGGTGAAGGTGATGTGTCATTGAGTTAAATCCTTGACTTTCTCAGATGAACGATTCAGATGCGTTTGACTTGATGACTTGGAGTGTTTGACTGCCACATCAATTAGTGATGTGCACCGTTTTGGCTTTGGATTGAGTTCTGAGTGGATTGGGCCTTCCCTGCTAATGACACCTCCCTCTTTTCAGCCCAAAGCACGCATAACTACTTTCCTTTGTTAATCCAATTGTTGATGCACCCTCCCTTGGTTTCTTGCATTTTTTCTTTATTTTATTTCTATTTTGATTTAATTTCATTAAAAATACTTCTAATCATGATAAAATTCAACCAAAAATATTTTCTAACACTTTAATGTGTTATTTAATTTTCTATAATTTTTAATTTCATTTTCCATTTATTTTTCAATTTAATTTGAATTAAATGATTGAAAGTGTTTTTAACTTGTTTTCCATTTGTTCTTGCTCATTGTTTGGACCAATTTGAAACCACCAATGGTTAAGGCTTCCTCTTTACTTTGATGATGAATTGAGGTGCCTTTGAGGCTAGTTTTGGTCAAGGTTTGACCTATTTTTGTTTGACTTTGATTTGCTTTTGTTTGACCCTCGACAAATGCCTTTCAAAGTGGAGCACCCTAGTGGATCAATTCCTTTGGTGATGCTTTGATTAGATTTTGGCTTTAATGCTTTGGCCTCTGGTTTCCAACTTACTTGTGAGCTTTGTGTATTTTATTGAATCATTTTCCTATTTTTGGTGTACCTTACAAGTCAAGTCACCCTAGGAATGGTTCACACATACTAGTTGACCTAGTTCTTGTGGGAGATGACCCTTGTGGATCCCATATGCTTCCAAATCCTCTTGATTCACATTCCTAACATGTTGAAGTGGATGGTTGCAATTTTATAGGTCATAAAGTTGGTTGGTTCATGTTACAAGTTGCATTTGTTTAAGGCTTTCCATTTGATGTTGAATGTTGAAAGTGTTTAGAACTTAGGTTATTTACCATGCCTCATCTTGCAACTTGTCTTGCTTTGCTTCCTTCTTTCCTTTTCCATTTCTCTTTTCTTGTTCTCACTTATATCCTAGGACCTTGGGGACTCATTCAAGTTGTTTTGGTGCTTTTGATTTGCACTTTGAGTCTGACTTGGATGAGAGGCCATTTTGAGAACCTCTTTTGATTGTTTTCTTGCATGATCATTGTGATGCTTTTGGTTGAGCTTTTATTTGATATTTCTTGTTGTCCAAACCTATTCTCCCATCCTCACATTGATCATGTCTTCATCTCTTTCTTTTGTGCTTGCCTCTTGGTTTAGAGATTGATGCACAAATGGTTGTAGGAATTGTAATTTCTCCCATTTCATCTCACTTTTGCTTGCACTTGTTTATTTTCTTTTGTTTGCATTCCTTGTTTGTTTTGCATCTTCTTGTTTCATTTAAGAGGTTGAGATGTGCTTGTGGTGGTTGTTACCCCACACTTTTTTCCTCCCTCTTCATCTTTGTGTTGTATTGCATGTTTGCATCTTTATCTTCTTTCTCATTTGTGTTTGATCTTTCTTTTTCTTAAGCTTTTCTTTGCCACGTTCCCTTAGGACTTCTAATCTTTCTTGTTCAAGATGGATTATGATAGACATTAAGTTTGAAACCATGCATGATAACATTAGAGTAGTCTTCCCTTTTCATCTCAATCATAGGAGCACATTGCATGATAACATTAGGTTGAGTTTAGTCTCCCTTTTAGAGTGTGTCTTCTCTTCTCATCTCAAAACTTCTTCAAAACATCTAATAAAGGATAACGATTGTTGTACACTACGAGCCTTAAGCATTTGGGAAATGATGATTGGGGGGCCTCCTCTCAATTTTCTAGAGTGTTTAGCGTATGTCCTTTAGACGATATGCGACGCATTTGCTCCTAAGTCATAGTCTTTAGTGCAACATGAATTACAAACACAATTCAATTCACTTCTTCTTCATAAAAGACTCAAAAACAAACTTCAAACCTTTTTATCCTTCGGGATTAATGGAAAACTATTTTCATAAAAGAGTGT